CTAATTAGCAGGGGCATTGATTACTTCCCATCAAGAGAGAAGGATTGACCTCCTGCCATCAAACACTCACTCAGCAGATCTGACTCACGAAACCCTAGCTCAATCAGCAGAAAAGAGTTAACCTCCTGCCATCGAATCCTATTKCTAACGAAAGACATTTTCATCAGCCATCTCGGTCAGGAAACATCAAACACTACAACCTGCAAAACCCTAGACTACCTCTGCCTACCAGGGGGGCTGTCAGCGCCCCTTGTTGGTTGGAATCATGGGCCGGACGACTCCAATCAACAGGGGGTACAACCACTATCCTACTCCCATCCGCCGCCGAACATCAAAAAGCAGCTCCAGAATGAAATAGACGGCGAAGAAACCCCTCCTCTCCGTCCTCGTCAGATCCCCACTCCTCTCCCCCTGTGCTGGTTGCATCGCAATAGTCTTCGTTTTCACCAGTGCCGATGATGTTATTGTAGTTGTTGTTGTTGTCTCGGCCGATGCTTCTGTTGTCATTGTTGCCGCCAGCAATACTGGCACCGTTGACACCACTGTTGGTGGAAGTAGCGCCGTCGCACAGTCTCTGTTGTTGTTGTTGATGACATCGTCTTCAACCTTGTTAACTTTGTTGATATTGTTCATGTTGATCTTGTCGTTGATGTCCTTGTTATCATTGTTGTTGTTGTCGTTGTTGTTGTTGTTGTTGTTGTTGTTGTTGTTGTTGTTGTTGTTGACGCAGGTGTTATCCTCGTCTTCACAGCCTGCCGTCGTAGCACCCCTGATAATAGCGTTGTTGTTAATATTGCTACTCACCTGCCCCGCTGTCTTGTTGCTGTTGACCCCACTGTTGTTGTTGTTGTCGCTAACCAGCTCTCCTGTCCTCACCGTTGGTATCGTAGATGTTGTCGTGTCTCCTTCCCTGCCACTATTATAATAGCTGTCAGAGAGTGTTCGCCCTTCTCGAAAGAGATCATAGCATCTACGCATAATCCCACTCTGCCTCTCGCGATTGATGATGTCATTAAGCCCGGGATCCGGCCCTTCCTCAAAAGCCCAGATAATTTCCAGCATCATATCCTCCATCCAATCAGCCATTAAAGACCCACCCCCTTGGACCTGTAATGGGTGGTTCGATGGAGAAGACATCAACCGCACAATCTCCTGCAACTGAAGCCTCCCATCTGTATCGTTCCAACTATAACGGATATCCCGAAGGATGACCTGCAATGCCTTGTGAAGTTGTGATCCCCTGGTCACCCAAATCTGCCCTGCAATGACTTGTGATCCCATGGTCACACAAATCTGCCCTGCAATGACTTGTGATCCCACAGTTGGTGTTTTACGGACATCACTTGAAAGAAGAAACAGATCTTAGTTCCCATCATCCTCTCCTTCAACCACCAGTACTTCACCCGGTTATCGATGCCAACCCCCTGCACACCAAACAACAAACTGGCACGGACCATCAATGGAGTTCATCAACGGTAGCGAAGGCCCCGAAAGTTGCTGCCCATATACGACAAGGGCACGCAACCGATATATGGGCCAAGTACTGGTGGTTTAACACTGGGCATGCCTTCCCGCCAAGATTTGCTCTATCCCATGGGGGGGTGCCCAACCCCACCTCTCATTGGGGTTGGCCACAACCCTAAGATGGTTTTCAGTAATTTTGCTACTTCTGTGCAATAATCTAATTGCCTGAAGCACTCCTTAAGTCATGGAGTGTATGTAGGGCGTTATGATCATGGCTGACAGAAACCTCTTTTCTCATTCAGAAAGGTGGCAGTTATCTTCTTCACTCTTGTTGCGACCTCTGCCATCCGACCATTTGTGATCAGATGGCTGCGAAGCACTGCCCCATGATTTCTGGGCATGATGTCTCTGTGCCTCTCCCTTTTTCTCTGCCCAAGAATTTGTAATGGACCTGTCCTGCCGCCGCCACACAGCGTCTCACTGGACAGCCCATACCCCCTATCCTGCGCTAGTGGGCCCACGGCCATAGTGGCAGTCAGTTCAATGATATTAACATCTGAAGGTCATTGCCCTATTTGTAAACAAATATATAGATAACACTCGAAATACGTGTTCGCATTCTGCACTCTGTTCTGTTTTTGCTGTTTTCGCATCTACATCTGTGGCCTGTTGTTGGGAACAGACAGGTTGGTGGGGCAGAGTTGGGACGGACGTGAAGCGGGGAAGGGGTAATTAATGGGGTCGGGAGGAGGTCGGGGCAGGTTGCTGGGCGCCTTCTTCTTTTTTTTTTTTTTGTGGTTAAACCAGCTTGCATGCAGCCAGTCATTGCACAGTGATCCGACATTTCCACTTGAATGAATTTATGCCAGGACCCCAGGCCCGCTCATCCCAGCACGTCCCGACCGTGACTTTTGGAAGTACTGGTGGTGGTGGTTGTTTTTTTTTTCCTTTCTTGGTGCGACTGGTTGTGAAGGGGGAGATGGGTAGAGAAGTGGTGGAGGGGCCTGAAATTTGCTTACAGTTTTTCTGGTGTGAAGTGGCATTTTTTTTTTCCTGCTTAATGTGCAATTTTTTTGTCATAAGGGAAGACACTTGTGAGTGCCAAGTGCTGGTGTGGAAGAATAAGTGTGCTTGTCAGTTGCGGAACTGGTGAGGGAATACCTACCCTGAGACTTCTGTGCATGTATCTAGTCACGATCATGGCCAGCTTCAGCCGGTAAAGCATGCATGAGTATGCTGCAAATCAAGTCGGAATCAATATCTACACGGACCAGCACACGTGGAAACTGGATTCCCCCCCC